AAAATATGCAAAAGCAATAATGTTAGATTTATGTATTATAATCTTCGTTGACAATTATCAATTATTGTTTTTCCTATGCATGTCAAAATTTTTAGTTTAATTTATAGACTTGTCTATTTAGCCTTGAAATAAAAACGATCAGTTCGTTACATATAAACCATCAACTATTTTCAATAAAATAGTGTGTGATAATAGTCAAAACGAAAACATTTTTAACAAAATACCATACATGATACGATCAAATACCGATTACCTGAGACTTGTATTTAAGTACACTTTACCGTTAACCTCTAAGTTTAAAAAAAAAACAACAAAATAGCGATCTTGTTACTATAATGCCAACGGAAATTTTTAACGATTACATTTTTGTTTAGGTATGCGTGCATGCACTATTTCACATACGACGTTAAAGACATAAAATACGAATATAGATAAAAGGACTGACTATGGAATAAATAAATTGTTTTGATTCCGTGAGTACTTTCCTTAAAATCTCAATTTTGGTTCGTTATCTATATACATTTATATATAATTATATTCTGCCTGAATGTATAGAAGAAATATAGATTTAAATTTACTCTAAATCATAGGGTTTATTCTATTTGATAAGATATATCTTAAAATGGCGTGCATTTAAAATCATTCATGCGTAAAAATTCAGATATCGAATTACTTAAACCCGTTTATATGTGTGTTATGTATGTAACAAAGTCGATTATTCAAGTGTCTTTATACATTTTTGGTTGTTTAGGTTGTTTCCCTTGATTTCCCGCAATTTTGATCATGTAACTCTTTTTGTCTTTGTTGAAGCGGCTTTGTTTGTTTTTATATAAATCATACCCCTGAAGGACAAAAGATACCAAATATGTCTTATATTTTATAAAAATAGTGTTGTTTATTTGTCTGGATGTGATCAATGATAATAATGAAATGAAAGGACAGTAGATACCGAATATGAATTAAATTTTATACAGTTGGTTTTCTCCACACGATATTTTATAATAATAAAATGAAATTACATGCTAAAAATGGTTAAATTATATTCGTTGAATGTTCTAAATAAATGTCATATCCGTTGCGGAAAAAAGATAACGAATATGACTTTTTAACTTACATATGTTGCACGCTCTGTATAAAAGTCATATACGTAGCGGATTAAAGATACCGAATATGACTCGTGTTTTTTTAATCACATAATTTATAAAATAAAAATACTAATACATACAAAAATTCGTTAGCTTATGCCCGTAAATGAAAAAAAAAAAGTTAAAAGTTATTTACCATACTTTTCGTATTTTAAAGTGGTAACCGTTTAATTTATAAAATACCACTTGAAGTATAAGTCTTATTCGGTATCTTTCGTCCTTCACGGATATTACTTTTATAAAAAACGCAACGAATATAACCTTTAACTTTTTTATTTATGGACCAAAATTAACGATTTTTAGCATGTTATTTCATTTCATTGTAATTAAATATCACATCCAAATAAAAAAACATCAAAAAAAGCAGTTTCTTTATAAAATATAAGTCATATTCGGTATCTTCTGTCCCTCACTGATATGATTTTTATTTAGAAAAACGCAACGAATATAACTTATAACTTTTTTATTAATGAACCAAATTCAACGATTTTTTTTGCAGAATTCTAAATTGAAATTTAAATAGAAAATGAAGACAAATATGTTATTTAAGTTCATAGCCCGGTTCGCTCTAATGAGTACTAGATCAATTTTGAACTGCCAGATATGGTAACATGCAAAGAGATGTCTGCCAATTTGTTTGCTGGTATAGGTATGTCAGTCGGGAATACTCAGAGAGTAAAACCATTGAATTGTCATGACACTGGCTAATATAATCATAGTACTTAGGATTTTGATTCAAACTTCCGACAAAACAATACTTAGAACAAATTTTTAAAATCACCTTTCTACAAGTATTACTTCGATTTATGCAAAATTTTAAGAGTATGATTCCTATCTAATCAAATGTGACATAACTATTTAGTGGGATAACACAATATTAAGGGTGAAACTGTCATTTGGTTTCATTCAAATATGACCTTAAATTTAAAAAGACTTGATAAAACTTTTTTTTTGGGGGGGGGGGTATTTTTGTATTCTTTCTTTACTTTTTTTTGGGGGGGGTGAAAATAAAGTAAAACGAACTGTGTCCGCTTATGATTCATATAACAGGATTACAAGTAATTATACCTGTTTGCAAGGGGGTGCCCTTTTCCTTTATAGAGTAGGTCCATGATATCCTCTTACGCTACAAATGGTAAAAAAATTATAAGTCATTTTGTAAAATTAGACATATTTGAACATTACACATCTCTTTTCGATAAATTATCATGTCACAGTCTTTAAAATGAAATTACTGGTTCATCGCGTAAACCGCTCGGCCAATTATTAATTGGAGACGAATTAATGATATTGTACATTGTAAACTATGCGTAAATGTGAATGTCTATGTTAAAATTAATAGATGATTCGAAACATCTGGGTGTTATTTCATGCCTAAAATGTAACATTCAACAAGTCTGAATAAGTTGTCTTTATTTATCAAAGTAAGTGACTAAATTCGTAGTTCCGTTATGTTGATTATTTTGTAGAATTATATTTTGTATGCCTTTAATGTTACTCTTAAATGTGAAGTAAAAATTTGAATATTTGATAAGTGCTCAGAAATATTTTTTTTTTCTCATTTTGGTTATTTATCTATATACATTTAAATATCATTACGTTCCACCTGAAGGCTGAAAGATGTTATTATAAATAATGTCTAGAAATATAGAGTTAAATCCTATTTACTGTAATTTATAGGGTTTAATCGACTTGTTAACTTAACAAGACATACATTTGAAAACATTTATGCGTAAAAATTTGGATATTGAATTACTTTGACCCATTTTATGTATAGCATACAAGTACACGGATATTACTTTAATAAATGAAATAAGAAAATTTTTTTCAAATTTTAAAACGAAACTCAACTTTTAAAACTATACAGGAAATATATACAATTTTGAAGTAAAGAGCATGGCAAGTACTTGGGTAGTAGTTTTGGTTTATTTTCTAAATTAAGGAAAAGTAAGCTATTTAATTTTTAAAAGAAACCCAGACCAAACATAAATCATAAATCAACACTGAATTTATGTACGAATAATGCAACTAGAAGCATTCTTTGGTTTAACACATATCTTAATACACATAGATGTATTACCCTTTTCAAAATGATACAGTAAATCTTAAATATCCAAAGGCGTTTAAATCTGATACACTGAGACATGATAATAAAAGAATGTTACCGAATTCAACTTTTTCATGCTAAGATATGCAGTGTAGGACAGACAGACAGAAAATTCTTTTGACGTAAACTGTACAGTTCTTTTGTCATACACTTTACAGGAGGATACAATATTGAAGTTACAAAAAAGTAGCCGAGGGTTAAAATAAAAAAGCAGAGAAATAAAATCAACATGTTTCGGAGATTTTTGTTTTCGATTTTTTCGGTGAAATTACCCCACCAACTATAACAAAGTATAAAAATATAAAAAAAAATGCAATGCCTTGCACCTTTTTATTACAACAACTTAATCGCACGTAGTGTTTATGACAAACAAAGTAGCCACTCGGATTATTTTTGTCATTTTTAGGCAACCATAATAGAAAAAGGTGCAAAAAATAGGCATTTTTATTTGATATTTTGAAAAATTTAAGACAAAAACCTTAAACGCTATATCATTCACTGTTATCTTATCATAACTTTGTTGTTTCTGGAATGTTTGAACACCTTTTTTTATCAAAAACGGCATAATTTATGCAGTAAAATTTAAAATAATAAGATATATACCTGTTTTTCATAAAATCGGCGGCCATATTGGATGCCATCTTGGATTCTGAAGCGTTGTGAAAGCAAAGTTCTTTACAATTTGGATTTTTGTAAAGGAGAGACTTTATACTTACTTTGGTTTAAGTTTCAGGTTTGGTAAAAAAATTTATTGAATGACCCTTTGCTCTTACTCTATTATAATATATTAACAGCAGTAATAAATTTGTGAAGAGAAAGATATCCTTGACGCCATTTTGCCTTTTTATGTATATGCAAAACTGTACTTATTGTGAACGTCGTCAACGAATTTCACATATCAATTAAATCAAAGCATAAATGCACTGAAGTTTTGACTTGTGAGATATATCTTAATAGTCTTTTCGTGTATGTATAATCACTTATGCATTGTGTCAGTTAACGACGGAACCGACCTGGTGCCAACGTTTTATATAAAATTACTCCTAATTAGGAATTATAAAAGTTTTATCAAGACTTAACATCCCATAATTAAACATTTGAAAACACTGATAAGGAGACGAAAATCATAATTGGGAATTTTAAAAATCTAAATAGGAGTTTATAAATGTAACATTAGGTCAATAAACCTTATAAGGAAAAATAAAATCCTTTTAGGGCTTTGTATCTTCCAATTAGCAGTTATAGTAAAAACCTTATACCGACATTGTTACTCCTAAATAAGAGTTAGGATAAATAAGATCCTATCAAGCACTTTGTTAAAATTCTAAATAAAAATTAAAGTTTTAATTTAAACTCTTTATTAACTTATTAAGTAGGAGTAACAAAGTCCTATTTGGGCATTTTACACTGCTTATGTGTTAACTCTATCACATTTCGATATAAATGATAGTAGAGATGCGCATTTTCGAAAAATATATAAATAAGTAATTGTTGTGTTTTTTTGTGTGTCTATAGTTATCAGCATAATCCTTATTTCAATAAAAGTAAACGGTACAATTTTCAGTTTATATTTATTGCTATAACATTGTGGCACATTTGCAAAAAGTTCCAAAGAACTACTCGATGTTTTCGACAATGGAGACTTCCAGATCGTGAAATCCCGTAAATTCTCAGGCATCACTAATATTTCGTTAATACAAAAATTATACATAATGTCATACATAAGCATTTTTAATTAAACTTGCAGAATGGCATCGTTAGATGAAGAGAGATATTTGAGATACCTATGGCTGCTAGGCGAGGGTGGTTTGTTTGTATTACGAGGTGTTATATCGAGAGAAACAACTAAGAGCGGTAGCACTCTTGATAATCTTCTGCAGAATGGACGTGCTCAGTTCAAAGGCGTTTTACAGAAACAACGCGATTGTCTTTTTCCTACCACTACGACAGTAAACGCAGATACATACACTTGGGATATGTCAATACTCTTTGTTGTGCTGAAGAAACTTTTTAGGTCGGGCCTGTCCCTTATAGAAAGAGCTGATTTGTCAACTTTGAAGACCTATCGAGATGATTTCCAAGGACATCCTCCGATAATGTCTATGAATGCATCAGATTATTTAAGCAATCGACAGCGTCTTGAGCAAGCTTTACGACAACTTGCATCAGGAATAAATGGGAAAGTTGAAATTGAAAGTATTATCAAAAGAACGGCAACAGGCAGAATTGATTCGGATTCAATCTTTACACACATAAGAGAGATATATGACTTCAAGACAAGTTTCTTAACAGCCGTTGAAGACATGCTACAACATGTCAATTCAAAATTCTCTTCTGTTCAAGGTAATGTACATAATTTCCGTTGTTATGCTTTTTAAATAGTTATAATTGTTGTTGTAAAATAAATTATTTTAATACAGTCTACACGATTAATTACTCAGACAAATACATTTTTTATGGTTATTAACTGCATATCTTCTCAGAATTGGTTAAAATTGTATTAATGGTATTATGGTAAATTTGATTGAACTCATTTAGCAGATTAAATATTCTACATGTACCAAAGGCTTCAAACAGAACATATGAACATATCGGTACAAAGAACGTTCTCCTACCTGGGAAACCTTATTGAAGCATATAGTTTTTAAAGATAGATAAGTTTCAATAATTTGGCATATCAAAAAAGAAACTCTATCACAAAATTTGGTTTTATTATGTATACATTTTTTGCACGTGGTCTCCCTGTACAAATGTTGAATATATATTTGGTTCCTTTATTTTGATAACTTTGTTCAATGTTTTTGCAAAACAAATGCACTTTGCTTTGGTATTAAATCCTTCAATACCATTCAGTCTGACTCATAATACATTTATTAATTATTGCAAATTGCGTACATGTGCATCCAATTCCGTAGTTAATTTACTCTAATGCTCTTGAAAAGAGGTACAATAAGTACTTAAAATCAGCAAACATTTTTCTGAACTGCAAAATTTGCAATATCTTTACTTTGTATATTTACTGTAAGTACAAAAGATATGACTTTTTTGTATCGAATAAAACATTTAAAGTTGCATATATTAACGCTCAAAAATCAGGTTTATTTAATAATCACAACCTTAGCAAGAAATCAAAGACTTGCAAGATGGTTACTATTTTACTAATTATGGTCATGTTTGTATAGCAAACATTAATCATATTTTTCGATACATTTATTTTAAAAAATCGTTATACTAAAACTGTTAAAGTTTTAAATAATTCGAAAGACTGGTAGTATATGGCAAGATTTAGATATTGCATTTTTATTCGACAACCTAGTCCAATTGAAGAACAAAGAAGTGCAACAATATGTATTGATATCAAATACATATTTGTGATATAAAGCTCGACAAAATATATATGACTTTTGACATAAGTAATCCTAAGAAACTGCAACACTGACAGACAGCATAGAAGCTCGGACACGAGACCGGCATACATGTATTTCCGATACTGTACCAGCTTATCATTTCTATGAAACCGTCAGATTTTGCCAATTTAAAATAAATCGTTTTAAGTTGATATTAAGCTGATATTTTATTTTTTGAGGCCGTACACTCGGGTAATTCGAAAATGTATTCAGACCTTGTAGATAGATCTTTAAAAACTCAAATAACTGCATATTGTGATAGTTAAAATACAAATGACATCGATAATTTATATATTTGGTCCCTTGCACTGGAGAATTTAAGAAACAGTAAGCATATAATAAAAGCTCTTGCTGCTTTTGTTTCCATAGAACATGGTAGTGTTTCAAAAATTTAAGTTCTGATGTCAGAACGATTCCAGTCGATGTTCCGTAAACTAGGGTAATAGGTTCCTTACATGCCGGGACTCAGACCCACATCGGGGAATGACAAGTGGTTTGAATGAACGTTACCACTCGACAACATATGTCCCGGCTGTAATCAGCTTATACTGGAATTCCTAGTTATATTCAAGCGTGTTTAACTGAATTGTGCATCGATATTGTCACATTTTTTATTACATTTATGGATTCACTTTTTCAAAGAAAAGGAATTGAAATAATTAAAATAATGTGTTTTGACAGGAAATGAGGAACTGATACTTCAAAAGTTGACTGACCTGCAAATCAAACACTTTCGGAAAACAAAACATAAGTATTCACGAGGTAATTCAGACTTTAAATACTATATTTTTGAATACCTAATATGATACATAACATATTGACCTTTGAAAAGCTCAATAATGACAATTTCCTGATGCCCACTTGAACTACGGTATGCATGCTTCTTCTTCTTCTTCATACATAAATAAATAAATGATAACTAAATAAATTAATAAAAACATATAAATGTAAAAATAGATAGATAAATAAATAAATAGTAAATAAATAAATAAATAAATAAATAAATAAATAAATATTAAATGAAAAACAAGTAATTATAATATGTACATATTTTTCTTCTATTTCGGAAAAATTTATTATCACTTTCAGAGTTAAGAATAATCATACAAGCCGAATGTGATACTGAAGAAAAGCAAAGGAAAGCCAACGACTTACTGTTTGAGTTTGTCGAGTTAATACATAGAGATACAGCAATTCGTAGCGATGAAATTAAAAGAATAATAACACAAAGGGTTGAATGGTACGGCGAAATTACATTACAATTGCTAGATGATTTAATTGAATGGTTCAGTGATATAGAAGACCTGTCTGACGGAGTTGGCAAACCTCGTTTGGGAAGTATCATTTTACCAATTTCCTGTTCTTCGGTAACAGGCATCCTCACGCTTTTGAAATATATGAATGGCGATCAAAGCAAACAATGTTTATCAAGAATTTCTTCAACTATCAGTGTATCACTTGGATTCCCGTGCTTATTATCATGGAAAGTTGAACCTATGAGTCTAACGAGTGCTCTTCCCACAAGTTGTAAGTATTATTTAGTAATAGGGAACTTCGTTTGTTTAAGTCTATAAAACGTTATATCTGCATCTCATAATTTACAACATTTATTGCTATAATTTTGAAAATGAATAAACTCAAAGTAACTGTTGTTTGTATTTCCTTAAACGTGAATTATCATGTTCAAAATCATTCAACGGTTAAATAAAACTCTCCTTACAGTTGCAGCATTATCCGGAACATTTTATTCTGTTTTCGTTTTATATCCATAAGATTAATGATAGAATAATAATACGATTACAATTTGTTTAAGCTCCAACCATCAATAGCATAAGTTTAGATTTCTTATAAAAATTCAAAGTACGAACAAGGGAAATATTTTGAAAATAAAGTACGCTCGAAAAATGCTCAAAATATTTTACCGATGGAATTATTTTCAAAGAGTTCAGCTTTTTAGCTAAATCGCTTTCTCTTCTATTAGAAAATTTATACTTCCAAATAAAAGTCGTTCTGACATGATATTGATATACATGTACTAAGTACTTTAGTGTTTTTAATTCCAAAGACCAAAATTTGTTAAGTACTTTGAGCGTACACATTGGCAAAAAAGATAAAAATATATCAAGAGTATTCGCAATGTATTTTTGATGAAAGTGACGTTTATAATACTAAAAACTGTTTTCCCTTGATTTGTTTGGATATTCAATTGAAATAAAAAATCTCTTAAACAGAGCCTATCAATGTCGGCGTACGCGATTACAATAAAAATTAGATACGGGATGGAACAGTTGTCTTTCTTGGGAAGACATGTGCCAATTGAAATAGATGCGTCTTTGCTCTTTTCTTCGTTTCTGTATTTTCAAACTGTGCTGCTTGTAAATCATGACCAATTTTGATATGTTTTAATTGGTCAAATTGCAATTTAAAAGAGTTAAGAAATTTCAAAATGTTTCTTACATTTCTTTCATTTAATGACGTTAACTTACTTGTAATATCTGTTTCAGTATTAAGCCCTGGAAAAGGAAAAAGATCAAAAGAAGTGAAGAATTTAGTATTACCTATTAATGCCATTAATATAGAACAGTTGACAGATATTTGTAAAATGTTCGGCGAAGCAGAGAGAAGCAGTAATATGGAAAAGATATCCACTTCATTATCAAAAATATTCGGAGAAACCATTAGTCTTAAAACAAACGTTGACAATGATCAGTTACGGAGTATTGTAAATGAAAAAGGTAACATTTGGACATTAGCTTGTTATTTATAAGGATTAATATAAGTAAAGAGAAAAAATACAAATACTGTCCGATTAGCTCAATAGGTAGAGCGTTGAACTGTGAATCGAGCGACCCGTGTTCGGACGGTGCTGGTCATTTTTGTAGTGATTGATCATGAAATGCTTTCTACGGTCATTTGTTCTCTACTTTTGCTTTAGCATGTACAGTTGTTATCATTTCCTTGCAAAACAAAAGGCAGTATGTCAAATAGTAAACGGCTTGACAGCCTGTTCAGGAACGATGCAGTGGATCAACTGTGCTCTGGTGAATTCCGTTAGGCCTTCTGTCGTGATACAAAGGGTTAACTAACACTACCAAAAATACAAAAAGAACAAAAAAATAAACAGATGGCAAATCGGTACCAAACCCCATTCATGTATAATAATATCAGTTTTATCAGATATGCACATGATAGCAATAAACAACAATTTCGTGAAAACGCACTGTTATTTCTTTTTTATATACTAGTACATTTAGTTATGCTATAACTTTTCCATTGTTTGACTCATTCATTCAGGTTATACTGAAAGCCAACCTGACAAATTAATTGATGGCCAATCATCTGACGTAAAAGACAAGAAGCGAACTCAGAAAAAGTTAAGTTCGTCTGATTCCGGTGAAGGTAAACATTATCTTTATAGTCTAAACATCATATTGTTACCATAAACAACATATTCATAAATGAGAGGTTGTATTGCTGACTTTTTGTGAATAGGATATGACGTGTACTGCAAGAAAATATATAAATCACCTTTGTATATATAAACCTTTGAGTTCATAACACATTAGATATCCTGGCTAAAAAGTTCATATCTTTGTTAGAATACAGTTTATAGATATTTTTATATCGCATGTCTATCAATCTGTACCGATGTGGGTTCGATTTGTGTTAAATTTATTTGCGGATGCTTCAAAATGCATAATTTCACCATTTGCATTTTGCTAACTCTTGGTCTATGCTTAGGGATTTTATTCTGTTTTGTTTACCTTATTCAGTAAATATTCGTTTAAAACGCTTTAAATTCAATGCATTTAAGACGGTGCTGGTCATTTTCATACTGATTAATCATGAAATGCTTTCTACGGTCATTTGTTCTCTACTTTTGCTCTAGCATGTACAGTTGTTATCATTTTTTTGCAAAACAAAAGGCAGTATGTCAAATAGTAAACTGCTTCACAACCTGTTCAGGAACGATGCAGTGGATCAACTGTGCTCTGGTGAATTCCGTTAGGCCTTCTGTCGTGATACAAAGGGTTATCTAACACTACCAAAAATACAAAAAGAACAAAAATTAAACAGATGGCAAATCGGTACCAAACCCCATTCATGTATAATAATATCAGTTTTATCAGATATGCACATGATAGCAATAAACAACAATTTCGTGAAAACGCACTGTTATTTCTTTTTATATACTAGTACATTTAGTTATGCTATAACTTTTCCATTGTTTGACTCATTCATTCAGGTTATACTGAAAGCCAACCTGACAAATTAATTGATGGCCAATCATCTGACGTAAAAGACAAGAAGCGAACTCAGAAAAAGTTAAGTTCGTCTGATTCCGGTGAAGGTAAACATTATCTTTATAGTCCAAACATCATATTGTTACCATAAACAACATAATTATTCATAAATGAGAGGTTGTATTGCTTTGACTTTTTGTGAATAGGATATGACGTGTACTGCAAGAAAATATATAAATCACCTTTGTATATATAAACCTTTGAGTTCATAACACATTAGATATCCTGGCTAAAAAAGTTCATATCTTTGTTAGAATACAGTTTATAGATATTTTTTATATCGCATGTCTATCAATCTGTACCGATGTGGCTTCGATTTGTGTTAAATTTATTTGCGGATGCTTCAAAATGCATAATTTTACCATTTGCATTTTGCTAACGCTTGGTCTATACTTAGGGATTTTTTTCTGTTTTGTTTACATTATTCAGTAAATTTTCGTTTTAAACGCTCTAATTCAATGCATATACTCGAAATAATTGTATGTATTATTTTTATATTAAATGAAAGTTACAATAAATAACAATGAATATTCATGAGTCGTTCATGAATATTCCTCATTGGTAAATTCAAATATCAAAGTGTTATTAATGGGAAACATATAAAATCATTTTATATACGGCAGCCAGTAAGATATAGAGGATATTTGTTAAGTTCAGTGTAAGATCGGAATATATTTCACCGAGTAAGCTCCAAAAGTTATATTTCACGAGTGGCGCAGCCACGAGTGAAATATGAACTTTTGGTGTTCACAAGGTGAAATATATTTCGATCTTAAACTACACTAAACACATTTCTTTTCATTATATGGAAAGAAACGTTTAAAAAGACACTGTAACATAACATTTAAAGAAAAGCGCGCCAAATAATAATACATGATGTCATTTACGATGTTACGTCTTGAAAGTGGTTCCCAGTACTGTGCACGCTAGTATTTCACTGAAACAACGTAAGAGGCTCGAATTCAAAACAGTGAAGTTATCAAATTGATAACTTCACTGTTTAAAACCGTGAAATTATCAGTTTTTTATCACTGATATATATCTATAAACCACCAAAAACATGTAATAAGATGTCATAATCATATTATTGACTGATATTCACCGTTTGAGCAGACGGACAGACATTTGACTGAAATGGACTCCAGGGCATTGCCTTTGTTGTTTTTTTTATAGGGGAAAATATATTCCTTTATGCTGTTCATCATTGAAATAGTCTTCTAAAAGTTGTTGTTGTTGTTGTTGTTGTTAATGTTGCATGAGCGGGCAAACGGACGGACAGCTCAATATATACGTATAAAACCGAATGAATCATATCCATCACATCAAAAATAAACCGAATAGATAATATACTTACAAAAGAACAATGAACATTAAAGTTCAAGTCTTTATCATAGTAATATAGAAATATTTTCAACGTATTCTAAATGGGATTTACATAATGTTTTAAATAATTTAAAGGAACTTTGTTTTATTCTCATTTTAACACTATTTTTGTGTCTAATAACCTTCTCTTAAATCAAATAATATTATCTATATAAATAAAATTTAATATTGCCTACCTATAGGGTTATCAATTATAATTGCTTTGAACAATTTAATGTTGTTATATTGTACTTCAAATAAAGGCAGAAAAACGACATATGTTATTGCCATTAGTCTTGTTTTTTTAGATTTACTATCAATGACAGATGAAATGTCGGAATTGCTTGACTTCAGCAGAAAGGAAGACTTCAGCAGAAGGGAAGAGGTTAATTGGGTAATGTCAATACTTGCACTTAAGATCACAGCAGATGAAGCTATGACATATTTAGCGAGGTCAATTTTCAAACAGTTCTTCGACAGTTTGACTCCTTCTGAGAAAAACAACCTTCAAAATTTGCTAGATATCGCTCAAAATCGATGCAAAGTATACAAATTAAGACGAGTTGAAGAACCTCTTGTATGGGAGGTTAACGCACCAGAGTGTAGGTCTTTGTTGAAGAAGCTTGTCTCAGCTCATTGGAAACCAGCAAACCTTGAATGGGACAATATTGGAGATAGTAATGTGGAAAGTTACTGGAAAATCGCAAAGCTATACATGCCACGGGGAAACAAGAAGAGCACTTCTCCAAAGGATACAGACATGCACGCAATACTTAATTTGTTGAGGAACTTCAAACTGGAAAATTTTGCTAAGGAAAGGAATGCAATAGATCAGGTACTATCATGTTTATTGTTTATCTATTTCTTCTATCCCAATGGAAAATTTTAAAAGTGGCATATGTATATAAGAGGATTAGTGAAAGAGTTGATATTTTAAATAAAAAGCGGATAAATAAACGTTTTGGAAAATATTTATATTTAAGACGCACATACTAGTAAAAGACAAAAAACAACAACTTGTAAACATTTGGACAGTATATACCTATGTAACTAGCTTGTTTGAATTACAGATGATTCGTCACAGGAACAATTTATGTCATTCTCCCGACACCACAATTTCGGAAAAGGAAATGACTGAAATATTCACGAATATTAACACATTCATGGATAGTACCACGTTGGATGAAGATATTAAATCAAAGACAAAGAATAAACTTCAACAGGTACCGATTCATTTTTTCCCCTTAAAAAATATTGATGTTTTGATTCACAAAATGCTCAGAACCGAGCTTTAGTGATCGCAAGGTATCTTTACAAACATCCCCTCCTAATCATAGATTAAATCTTTACCTATTTTTACAAGAAAGCTATGAAATAATGTAAATCTATACAACAGTGTAATAAAGCAATAAATGGTTCCATGCAAAAAAGAAGGTCACAGCACCTATAATAAGACTGTAACATATGTCAACGCTGAAGACTTTGATATTTATTATGTAGCATTTCTTAATTAACCTCTACAGAAGGTACATAAATTATTCCCTGGTACTGTTTTATGGTATACATTTCTTACTTTGACTTATATTGAAAACTAATTATCAAATCTTCTTTAGTCGAGGAATGCATGTTACAAACTGTTTTGGTAATAACAGAACTTTGTAGTACTTAGTAACTAAAATATTGAAAATATCAAATATCAGCCACGCCCTTAGAAACATTTATTAGGACGAAAAAGTTGTTGGCTTTTTTTTTTGCATGATACCTAAAACTGACAAATTATGCCTTTTAGGGAAGGAGACATCTTGTAATATTCACAAAGATATTTCTATAATAACAAAGAGCTTAACTAATCTTTCAATCTTATCCCGTGTTTCTACTAGGCTCAGATATTAGATTTAAGGTTAACTTAAACCCCTGTCCCACAAGGGCGGCATCCAAAGAAAATTCAGAACGCCGAGTTGAACGCAGTTAGATCACCAACATCGCCGTAGCATCGTAGTGGCATCGCATAGATTGCCGACGGACGGCGCGCATTTTAAGCATGCTCGTGAATGCCCTGTCATACTGCGCTTTTACTGCGTTTGCACGGCGTTGTTAAATTTAACAAAGCGTCACGAGATCGCAAGAAAAATCTGATATTTTAGATGACATGGAGACTTCACAGCGTCTTAACAGCGTCCTCAAAGCGATCATGGCGTTGTTTCTGAGCTTCCACGGCGTTGCAATGCGTTCTTACGGCGTTTTAATTGGCGATTGACTGCATCCGGACTGCTCTTCTACTTTGTTTTCACAACCTTTATACGGCGCTCTCGCGGCGCTCACACTGCGTTGAAATCGTGCTTTATATACCAGCGATTACTCATTCTGAATAGTCGTGAACCTAATGCACCTGCATGCAAGCAAGCAATTTTCCAGCTTGCTGTCGTTCATCATCCAAGGACATTTCCTTGCAAACACGTTCTATATATACAGTGAAAACCCTCAAAGAGTATAAAGACCACCAAAGGAACTGGACTAAAATGGTTTTAATTTCGGATGGTATTAATTGTGGATATAATTAACAAAGGGTTGGTCTTTATTCCGGGTGGTTTTAAGAAGGGGTACTACTGAACCGTATTCTGCAATTTTGATGAACGCACTAGAATCGCCTTGTGTGTGCATTGGTCGCCGTGACAGTGGTGTAAAGTCGCAATAAGAGCGTTTTGAAAAAATAAAAGCGCCGTACACACGCAGTATATGCGACGAAGAGATGCCGCACAATCTCCGTACAAGCGCCATGGATAATTACGTCGTCTATTCGGCGTTCCCTCTGCGCTTTCACGGCGCTCCTGTTGCGTTGAAGGGGTTGTAACCAAGTTGCTACGGCGTCCTTACTGCGATCCCACAGCGCTATTTTCTGAACGCCGAGTGACAACGTCTGTTTTGAGCATGCTAAAAATGTGCGCCGTCGGTCGGCGGTCTATGCGATGCCACTTCTATGCTGTGGTGCTGCTGCGGCGGTGTTTACGATCTTAATGCGCTCACCTCGGCGTTCTGAATTTGCGTTCTGAATTTTCTTTGGACGCCGTGAGAACGCCGCCCTATTGTGACAGGGGTTTAACAAACGCCGCCATTCGGTGTTCTGATAAGAGCGCAGTGGGCTCGCAGAAAAAGACGTCGTAGCAACTCAATAGCATCTCCTACAACGCAACAGGAACGCCGTAAAAGCAAACAAAAAACGCCGAATGAACCGATGGTTATCCACGGACATTGGATTGTGTGGCGTTTCTGCCGCGCCTATACAGCGTGTTCATGGAGCTATACGATTTCAGTGTAGTGTGAGCGCGGCGAGAGCTTCATACAAGCGCAGAGAACACAGTAGAAGCACAGTCCGAACGCAGACTATCGCCAATTAAAACGCCGACTAGCGCCGTACCATCACCATGATCGCCGTAAGGACGCCGTGAAGTCTCCATGTCATCGAAAATATCATATTTTGTTGCGATCTCATAGCGCTTTGTGTAATTTAACAACACCGTGCAAACGAAGTGAAAGTGCAGTCTACTTAGACAGGGCCTTTACATATAGCTTAGCTCAATTGGTCGAGTACCGAATATGAACTCTTGGAGTCGTTTTGGACGTGGGAAATGAGCCGTGACAATTTATCTCGGAGATTAGAAGTATTAGTCATTTGTGTGTCTTACCGCTGACTTAGGATATTTATCATAAATAACTAATGGTCAGTCACAAACGAAGAAATTACAAGTTAGTTATCATTAAAGGCCAAGTAACTTGATCGCCGATATATGACCAAACGTGTTAATCACGGCGTAAAAAAGGAACAATATATGTACGCATAGCTTAAAAATGATAGCGCCTTTGTTTCTTCTCTCGTTGTTTCATCAAATGGTCTAGAGCTTAGATTAAGTGGGCTTTAGTTATGCTTAGTAATTTGGGATCGAACATGGCTTGCAATTCTTTCCTGCGCATCGTTCCAATGTTTTGCTATCGCTCACTTTCTTACGTGTGAAGAAACGTGTGTATTCATTGAACTGCGAACGGAGCGTAACTGCTCAGTAATGTTAGAAAGACATATATCAAAAAGTAATTATAAAAGATAGCCTCCACAGAAACCACAAGATAAATAGGAGAGATGATAAGGATGTTGCCTTGCCTAGTTAACCATGGCTGAAATATGCCACTTTTTTAACAAGAAAAACATGCAAATTGAAACCCGGTTTGTGTGAGTCTATTCATAAGGTATATTGGAACAGTGCAACATCCCTCACAACACCTTGACTTATTCTCATTTTTGTTGAAATCATGTGGTGGAGATAGCAATTAATATCAGGTTAGCAATATGTGCCTATTCTTGGCCTTTTTATATGTGTCTAAGTAGTTATCAATTTAAAACAAATGTTTTGTTTAATTACATAACTTATCAAAAATAGTTTAAGAACACCAGAGATGTACAAACCACTTTAAGGTAATCAATTGTGTGCACAAGTGACATCACCTAAGTTTCACAATGAAATACATGTATCCTGAAAGGGTGAGATACTTTCGTCTTTTGTTCTGTTTTATATAGTTTAAATAAAATAACGTAAATTTATTTGCCAGGTTCAACTTATATCGAATGAAGACAAATGGCACTTGTACAAGGAAGTCTTACCGGTACAAATAACAGGTTTTGCAGTGGATCTGGACAGAACTGAGCAATTCTTGAGCATCACTAAAAGACTACTATTTGTATTTGAAAATGCCATGAAACGAAAATATGTTGACTATTTGCCACGTAATTGGCGTGAGAGTTTAGCAGAAGTTGATTTAGTAATGGCGTGTGTAATATGTTTCGTTGGTATGGGAGTATATTACCTCTGGAGACATAAGCTCACTCATTAATAATTATTGCAAATCCCAGCACTGAATTATTATACTTCTAAATCAAAACTTAAAATATGACATAAAAATAATGCTAGACAGTTAAAAGCTACTTTCCCACACATTGTAGTTTGGGCGTTTTTGAAATAAAATAACTTCAAACGAAAAACATTCACCACCGACTCGAATATTTATATGGAACTTGATGATTCATACATGACTTATTCGACGGAAAAACAACGAAGTAAAGTTTTCGCAAAATTTATCATGCTGTAATTTTAAACCGTTACAACGTTTATTTAGTAAATATTCACTAAAATTATAAATATACCCGATAACTTGTTGCAAATAGATCCGTAGGTTTCGGGTAGAACAGTTGTGCGCTTGGTAAGTTTGTCATCCTGCACTCGACTGCTTCACAATACATCGTACAGAATTATGTTGCTACGAAGAGACAAAAAGGAAGAAAATATCTTGGTAATCCGGTTTTAAAATGACATGTCCTACTGTCAACGGGTGTGATAATAGGGGTGTTCATATGTGTGTCAAGTGAAACATAACAATCGTTATGTCATTCTCGTGAAAACTGAATGTTTTACTTCTTTGCAAATTTAATTACTGTAAACAAATATGATATTGTTTTAAACCCGTTTTGTGCGGGATAGTAGCTTTAATATATAATTAAAGTTTCAAATGTTTCTCACTTCATGGTTTTCTAACTGTACTGAAAAAAGTATTCTTTTTTAGAATTTGTATTCTTTTCTTTTAGATACTTTATGTATAAAATATTCGGTAAACGACAAACTTTGTCGGCAAACAGGCTGTAAATTGTGTTTCGAAACTGTTTATATATTTATATCGAACTGTTGATATGAATGTATTGTTTGGCAATATTGGCCTGATGTATTTTAATATTCCACGACCTTTTGTCGGTAATTGTTGGATTCAGAGGTTTATCGTACGGATTTTGAATTATGGCAAAACGGTATATATGGTTTCTGTATAACCTAAGTTACCTACACAACACTTGATGGGGCGTCCGTGGCCAAGTGGTTAAGGTCGTTGACTTCAAACCACTTTCCCTCACCGCTGTGGGTTCGAATCCCGACAGGGACTTCCTTCACCAGTAAAGCTGGACTGTCGCGACCTATACGGTGTCGATGTGACGTACAATCCAAAACAAACAAACAACACTTGACTAACTAGCCTCAATGAGAAGACGTTAATAGTTTCTTGTTTCAAATTAAAGGCTGTAGGTTTGAATCTAAATGGAACATCATTTCTTTTGGGTTTTTTATGTTTTGCGAAACTTTTTTTTTGTACGCCAATCACCCATGCATTGTACGACTGTACAAATTGAATACATTTTCATCTATCAAATTAAGATTTTTTTAAAAGGAAAAGACTAAAGATGTTAAAGAAACGATGAAAGGCGCTGATATCGCATTTTATTTAAAGATAAATAAATCTGAAAGATAAATACTTTATTAAGGATACAAGCTTTCAACTTCGCAATTGCTATGCAATATCATTTTCACCACTAAGCTATCGAGGGGTTAGTATACCATGAAGCACATGTAAATAAATATTCATACAAATCAATAAATAAATCGTAATTAACCTATAGCTCTTCAGCGCTTCTTATGTAAAATTCTTCCAAGTATAATTTCCAATAACCGTAAATTATACCATACCCAGACTATGGTATAATTTTCAGTTTTGAAGATCGAAAGAGTAAGTGTTTCTGGGCGGAGCTATAGGTTAAAACAGATACACCATTGGTGCGTTGACGATTTCTGGGTTTGCGTAAATTATACCATAATCACGTGACCTTTCTTATACAACCTCACTCGACTTCGTCTCGTGAGGTCAAGGCATAAGAAAGGTCACGTGATTATGGTATAATTTACGCAAACCCAGAAATCGTCAACGCACCAATGGTATATCTATTACTTAATTACGGAAACTAGCGAAAATGCTTCCGAAAGTTAATGAGTCACACAACAATCTTGCCAAACAACACTGTTACCATTTTTTATTAAAGACCATGTTAACCATATTATCAAAAATAATTTATGACCCGTAAAATAATTACATTTTAAAGTTGCATTGTGTGTGTAAATATATTTTATTTTTTACTACATTCCCGTAACTGTTTCAATGTACTTCAAATATCTCAAATTTACCTTCTACTCGTACCTGTAATACATGAATATAACATAGATTGCTTTCTGGTGTTGTCGATACATGTTAAACACGAACTGACACCTCGCGCGCACATCCAACCCCACCCATCTGTTCTTTAAACTTTATAGTCACGCTGAAATTTGTATATACCGTTTCAGCTTTTTTCTCATGAAAAAACTGTATTGCCTTTATTGTGCTGGATTAAGTACGATTTTGAAAATCACATAATGGTTGCCAGCAACCATAAATGTTTTATAGAGAAATATGGATTTATAATAATTATCTTCTGAATATTTAAAAGAATGTTGAAACGGGCAGATAATATATATCAAGTATACGAAGTATACCAAGTAATATATAAGTGTTGAAGTAAATATTTGTTCCCTGGAGGTATTAAAAATGTGTTTGACTTATGTGTACAACGGTATCGTGAATGACGTCTTGACGGAACTTCATCACTTATGTACAAAAAGAGTACTCGCGCACTCTTAACAACACACACATACGAACAATTTGGTATATAAAACTTGCTGTTGGCTGACATAGACCACTTCGATGCCATTTTACCCTATGAATTTGCAGCACTATTAAACGTTTTATGCGCTTTTGCTTGCCATATCAATCATAAATATATATAATTATGATTGATATGGCAAGCAAGTGCGCATAAAACGTTTAATAGTGCTGCAAATTCATAGGGTAAAATGGCATCGAAGTGGTCTATGTCAGCCAACAGCAAGTTTTATATACCAAATTGTTCGTCTAGGTCTATAGTTTCCGGAATAAATATTCATTTGGCTCAAGTCCGATGCAAAGCGTAGAAATCCAAGATGGCGTCAAAGATGGCCGCCAAATCCCTAAATATTCTAGAACATTAATGTTGGCTCATATTTGTTTCCATTTTTATATTTCAAGTAAAATTTAGCACGGAAGATGCAATTTAAAATGTTTTATACGACAATACTTTACTGGAGAAAACGGATTGCATTTTTTCTTTTTTATACATAAATATGCAAAATAATGCTAAACTTATGGTTTTGCTACGATACTCTTGTCTATGCTTATTATGTATTACTTATTTTGTTATTCCACTATTGTAATGTACTCATGAGAGTAATGCTTTAATGTATTTATATCATATCTGAAGAAATCTTTGTTTGTTATTAAGCAGTAAGACATATAAAATGAGATGCACTACATTAAAATAGTTTTACAATGTAAGGTTGTGACTCGTACTTATTTGTTCTATCAATTATTTCCCCTATTTTGTGTTTCTGTCAAATTATAGCTTCTTTGGTGCAGTCCATGTAACATATTAACATAATTAACAAGGAATATGATAATTTTCTTCTGGTAATTTAATGAATTACTGTTCAAATCGAACCCCACCCACCATTTTTAGTTGATGTCAATAAAAATCTAGAGAAAGTCTGATCCCTCGAATATATTTATTATATGGAATGAATATATTTACGTAACTAAACACACCTAAGTTGATTTTAAAAGAAAGATACCATTAGAGGACTCTTGTAAGATCTAGTTAATAACCTATCAAAAATGTATTACCAATTTAATACGCATGATTTTGTTGCAAGTTCACCTAAAGAATTGAACAGTATGCAAAGTAAAATTGTTTATTTATCTATATGTTACACACCTTTTATGTAAAATGAAATGTATTTTATCTTATAAGTCGCTTAAACAGTTATTTAAAAAAAAATAGATATCTTTATTTACATGTATCATTACTCCATTGGCCTTCGGTTTAATGAAACATGCATGGTAGTCGGATAAAACATTATGTTAATATGAAAATCGTTCAGCTTGGCATTATTATTGTGTTTGAGATATTTTACATTCCTTTCATTTGACCTTTTTCGACTTGTGTGATTCTAGTATTCCTATTTGAATAGTATAATAACCCTTGGGATATGTTGCCTGCTTTTAAAGATTGTCTTTTGATCCCGTTTTATAAAGCCATTTTATTTAGTTTCTCCCATTGTTTTCTATAACTTGGGGACAATACGTTGTATGTCGTGAACTTGCACAAACATTTTACATTGAAGATACCATGATCACTTTCGTATGAATACATCTTTGGAAGTTTCTTCATTTCCTTTTAAAGTGTGCCAGTTTATGCAAAATTGAGAATTCTGCTTAAGCCAATGCTAGAGGGTGTGGATGGTAGCTTGCAATTACCACTACCGGTATGTTCCTATAAGTGTAACCCCGCCAAATAAAATTCTAACAATTGTCATGGTAACATTAGAAACAGATAAATCATCATGTAAATATGGACAAAAAGATACAGCCTAATGACCATTACCAAAGTACTGCATATCACAGATAAGCTGTACTATCAACAAAAACCAGTCTTGCTAATACATAGTTGTAAATTTTATTAAAGTACAATAAAATTTTGAAATATATCTGAATTACGACGATACAACTTTGTAAAATTTTTACGTTATTTATGATAGCGATAGCCTTGTTGAAGAAGTTTGCAATAAATTGCGTTCATTAAAATCATCCACACGACAACAGACCCTGGCAAATCTAATTAACTTAGAAATATATACCCCATATGATTTTGCATGAAGTACATGCGAACAGTTAACGATATTTAAAATCAAATCATCTCTTTTATCATACATTTTAGTTACTATGTTATTGTTAATGATAGAAATGTTTAAATCTAAAAAAGATGAAGAGTTTGTCTTATTCATTTTAAGTTCACTTTGATATATTTAGGATTTCATTTGACATAATTTGATCAAAATAAGGATTATTCATGTTAATGATATCATCTAGGTAGCGGTAAGTGTTATTTAAGG